AATGTTGAAACTTCTTGTGTAAAAAGAGGCAGGTTGAAAGCTCATCATACTAGAATTCCAGAGGGATCCAGTGAAAAACAACTATTGGAAAAAATCTGGAAGATTAAGTTGCAAGAGGTCCAATAATAAAAATGCACTCTTTCACATTTTGATGTTTTTAAGAGAAAGGAATCACAATAACATTTTGTCACTTTCTATGTATAAAGGAGCAGGTTAAAGGCTCATCATACTAGAATTTCAGAGGGATCCAGTAAAAAACAACAACAGGAAAAAATCTGTAAAATTAACTTGCAAAAAGTCAAATAATGAGAATGTACTTTCTCATATATTGATGTTTTTTAGAGAAACCAATAACAAGAAAATTTAGAAACTTTTCGTGTAAAAAGGGGCAGATTGAAAACTCATCATACAAGTAGTTTAGAGGGATCCAGTGAAAAACCACTACAAGAAAAAATCCGAAAGATTAACTTGCAAAAAGTCAAATAATGAAAATGCATTTAATCACATTTTGGTGTTTTTTAAAGAAACCAATAATAAGAAAATGTTGAAACTTTTTGTGTAAAAAGAGGCAGGTTGAAAGCTCATCATACTAGAATTTCAAAGGGATCCACTGAAAAACAACTACTGCAAAAAATCTGGAAGATTAAGTTGCAAAAGCTCCAATAATAAAAATGCACTCTCACATTTTCATGTTTTTTAGAGAAACGAATCACAATAACATTTTGTAACTTTCTGTGTATAAAGGAACAGATTGAAGGCTCTTGAAGGCTCATCATACTAGAATTTCAGAGGGATCCAGTAAAAAACAACAACAGGAAAAAATCTGGAAAATTAACTTGCAAAAAGTCAAATAATGAATATGCATTTGTTCATATTTTGATGTTTGTTGAAAGAACCAGTAAATAGAAATTTTTAAAACTTTTTTAATTAAAAAAAGCAGATTAGAAGCTTATCGTACTAGAATTCCAACATGATCCAGTTAGAAGAAATTCTAGAAAATCAATTTCCACAAAGTCAAATAATGAAAATGCATTCTTTCATATTTTGATGTTTTCTCGAGAAAACAGTAATGAGAGAATTTCAAAACTTTCTCAGTGAAAGGAAGCAGATTACGAGCTCATCAAACTAGAATTTCAAAGTGATCCAGTGAAAAACAACTACAGGAAAAAATCTGGAAAATCAACTTCCAGAAGTTAAATAATGCAAATATATTCATTCATATTTTGATATTTTTTGAAGAAACCAGTAATGGTGAATGTTTCAGTAAATTATTGGTTTTTACCTGTACTTGGAGATAGCATGTCAAGCAGTATTCGAGTAAAGCTTGTTGGACTTGTTTGTAGCCTTCTTCTACGTGTTTTCTGTTGGTGATTCGTCGGACTTCTGAAAAATAGATGGTGGTTGATTCTTTGTGAAAATTGGAATTATTGTCAACAATATTTAAATAGTCTCAAAAGTGATTTTTTTTTTCTATTCCAGGCTATTGAAATCTATTTGTTTAACCGATTTAAATTTTTAATATGTTTTGCCTCTAAGCCTCAAAAATATTCCATCAAAATTTCAGATTTGTGCCTCAAGTGGTTTTTGAGTAAATAGTCAAAATGTGGAGGCATGTCATATTGAGTCTTATAGAAGAAAATGTTTAATTTAAAAATCTTGTAACTTCGTAATTTTTTGTTCAACTGATTTGAATTTTTAGTATGTTTTGTCTGTAAGCCTCAAAAATATCGCCTCGAAATGTCATGTTTGTGCCTCAAGTAGTTTTTGAGTAAACTGTCAAAATGTAGAGGTATGTCATATCTAGTCTTATAGAAGAAAATGTTCATTTTTCAAAATCTTGTAATTTTGGAATTTTCTGTTCAATTGATTTGAATTTTTATTATGTTTTGCCTCTAAGTCTCAATAATATCGCCTCAAAATGTCATGCTTGTGCCTCAAGTAGTTTTTGAGTAAATGGTCAAAATAAGGAGGCCTGTCATATTCAGCCTTATAGAGAAAAATGTTCATTTTTAAAAATCTTGTAGCTTTGCAATTTTTCGTTCAATTGATTTGAATTTTTAGTATATTTTGCCTCTAAGCCTCAAAAATAGCACCTCAAAATGTCATGCTTGTGCCTCAAGTAGTTTTTGAGTAAATGGTCAAAATAAGGAGGCATGTCATATTCAGCCTTATAGAGAAAAATGTTCATTTTTAAAAATCTTGTAGCTTTGCAATTTTTCGTTCAATTGATTTGAATTTTTAGTATATTTTGCCTCTAAGCCTCAAAAATAGCACCTCAAAATGTCATGCTTGTGCCTCAAGTAGTTTTTGAGTAAATGGTCAAAATAAGGAGGCCTGTCATATTCAGCCTTATAGAGAAAAATGTTCATTTTTAAAAATCTTGTAGCTTTGCAATTTTTCGTTCAATTGATTTGAATTTTTAGTATATTTTGCCTCTAAGCCTCAAAAATAGCACCTCAAAATGTCATGCTTGTGCCTCAAGTAGTTTTTGAGTAAATGGTCAAAATAAGGAGGCATGTCATATTCAGCCTTATAGAGAAAAATGTTCATTTTTAAAAATCTTGTAACTTTGCAATTTTTGGTTCAATTGATTTGAATTTTCAGTATGTTTTGCCTCCAAGTTTCAATAATATCGCCTCAAAATGTCATGTTTGTGCCTCAAGTAGTTTTTGGGTAAATGGTCAAAATGTAGAGGCATGTTATATTTAGCTTTAATTAAGAAAATATCCATTTTTTGAAATTTTGTAACTTCGACATTTTTCGTTCAATTGATTTGAATTTTTAGTATGTTTTGCCTCTAAGCCTCAAAAATATCACCTCAAAATGTCATGTTTGTGCTTCAAGAATTTTTGATTAAATGGTCAAAATGTAGAAACATGTCATATTCAGCTTTATAGAAGAAAATATCCATTTTTTAAAATTTTGTAACTTCGACATTTTTCGTTCAATTGATTTGAATTTTTAGTATGTTTTGCCTCTAAGCCTCAAAATTATCACCTCAAAATGTCATGTTTGCGCCTCAAGTAGTTTTTGATTAAATGGTCAAAATGTAGAAATATGTCATATTCAGCTTTATAGAAGAAAATATCCATTTTTTAAAATTTTGTTATTTTTGACATTTTTTATTCAATTGATTTGAATTTTTAGTATGTTTGCCTCTAAACCTCAAAAATATCACCTCAAAATGTCATGTTTGTGCCTCAAGTAATTTTTGAGTAAATGGTCAAAATGTGGAGGCATGTCATATTCAGCCTTATAGAGGAAAATGTTCATTTTTAAAAATCTTGTAACTTTGCAAGTTTTGGTTCAATTGATTCGAATTTTTAGTATGTTTTGCCTCTAAGCCTCAAAAATATCACCTCAAAATGTTGTTTGTGCCTCAAGTAGTTTTTGAGTAAATGGTCAAAATGTAGAGGCATGTTATATTCAGCTTTATAGAAGAAAATATCCATTTTTTAAAATTTTGTAACTTCGACATTTTTCGTTCAATTGATTTGAATTTTTAGTAGGTTTTGCCTCTAAGCCTCAAAATTATCACCTCAAAATGTCATGTTTGCGCCTCAAGTAGTTTTTGATTAAATGGTCAAAATGTAGAAATATGTCATATTCAGCTTTATAGAAGAAAATATCCATTTTTCAAAATTTTGTAACTTTGACATTTTTCGTTCAATTGATTTGAATTTTTAGTATGTTTTGCCTCTAAGCCTCAAAATTATCACCTCAAAATGTCATGTTTGTGCTTCAAGTAGTTTTTGATTTAATGGTCAAAATGTAGAAATATGTCATATTCAGTTTTATAGAAGAAAATATCCATTTTTTAAAATTTTGTTATTTTTGACATTTTTTATTCAATTGATTTGAATTTTTAGTATGTTTGCCTCTAAACCTCAAAAATATCACCTCAAAATGTCATGTTTGTGCCTCAAGTAATTTTTGAGTAAATGGTCAAAATGTGGAGGCATGTCATATTCAGCCTTATAGAGGAAAATGTTCATTTTTAAAAATCTTGTAACTTTGCAAGTTTTGGTTCAATTGATTCGAATTTTTAGTATGTTTTGCCTCTAAGCCTCAAAAATATCACCTCAAAATGTTGTTTGTGCCTCAAGTAGTTTTTGAGTAAATGGTCAAAATGTAGAAACATGTCATATTCAACTTTATAGAAGAAAATATCCATTTTTTGAAATTTTGTAACTTTGACATTTTTCGTTCAATTGATTTGAATTTTTAGTATGTTTTGCCTCTAAGCCTCAAAAATATCACCTCGATATGTCATGTTTGTGCTTCAAGTAGTTTTTGATTAAATGGTCAAAATGTAGAAACATGTCATATTCAACTTTATAGAAGAAAATATCCATTTTTTAAAATTTTGTAACTTCGACATTTTTCGTTCAATTGATTTGAATTTTTAGTATATGTTTTGCCTCTAAGCCTCAAAATTATCACCTCAAAATGTCGAAATATGTCATATTCAGCTTTATAGAAGAAAATATCCATTTTTCAAAATTTTGTAACTTTGACATTTTTCGTTCAATTGATTTGAATTTTTAGTATGTTTTGCCTCTAAGCCTCAAAATTATCACCTCAAAATGTCATGTTTGTGCTTCAAGTAGTTTTTGATTAAATGGTCAAAATGTAGAAATATGTCATATTAAGCTTTATAGAAGAAAATATCCATTTTTTAAATCAACAACTACAAGAAAAAATCTCAAAATTCAACTTTCAAAAAGTAAAATAATGAAAATGCATTCGTTCATATTTTCATGTTTTTTCGAACAACAGATGAAAATTCCAATGAAAATGCCCCTTTTCACATTTCACTACAGTGTTGCAAGATTGTGTCCAATTTTTCACACTCGAGACCTTTTCAATAGTACCTATCATTGCCAGATAACAATACTTAATTACTTTGCCAATTATCCAATTACCTTCTATCAGGTAAATTGGTGGCCTGTCTAACCGTCAAAACCACTTTTTAACACTTTCTACTGATAAAACTAATTACAAGTTTCTGGTAGTATACCTAATTAGGCCTTTAATATAATAATTATCATTTGATTGTGTTTCAATGAGAGCTTAATTTATTCATAATTTTTTTCCAAAAAAATTGAATCAAAATTACGTGTTTGATTAATCAGTTAAAATTGGGATTTATGTCATCGGGCCAAGGAGGTCACGATTTTTGTGTATTATCACGTTTTTTTTTTTTTTTTTGACATCCCTAATTTTCGTGCTCTTTTAACTTCCTCATCGCAATCTTACAAATAGTTCAGTATTCGTCTAGAAGCGAATTTTGGTATAGATGTATGCTGAACAACCTTAGTGAACAACATAGTAAAAGTCCTGATGAGTGGGGGGCAAGCTAAGGTGGTAGGGAATTTTTGAAGGTTTTTTTTTTCATGTTTTTCTTGAATAACTGGAAAACTAGACAGTTGGGTTTGGCATACCCGGATAGCGCAAAGTCGAACTCCATCAGTGAAAATTTTGATAACTTTCTTTTACTGGATTCCGGGTTAGCTTCCCTACTATTAAAGAAAACACAAAAAATTTCAAAGCAACTTTTTATTTTGTAAAACTTAGGAACTAAAATCCAAAAAAAGAAAAAGTTATTATAGATTAAATATAATATGTAATAATAATAAAGGGATAACTACAACATTATCTTAATAAGTACAAAATAACAAGTTATTTAAAGGCTAGAGAAAAAAAAGTTAATGATTACAAATTAGACACCTATAAGAATGTCGCTAAGCATATAGAGAATTGCCCTGTGTATGTTAACAAGACGGGGTTCGTAACAATCATCGTTTTTTGGGCGCAACAATCTCAGTTCGAGCCTGTTGTTATTTTGTATTAATTTTTTGGTTATCAGCGAGGTACAAGGTACAGTAATTTTTCTATTGAAAAAAGTGGCGGAAGAGTAGGTAAGGGGGTGGGTATTGTATTGTAAGAAAAAAAAAATTATCATTGCTACTATTCGTCTTATTAAAAACTATTTTTTTTTGTATATCACATTTCTGGGGGTTGACATTTTTTTTTTTTTGTTTTGTTTCTAATTTTTTTCCTATATTTTTTTTTTGTTTATGTTTGTTTGTATTTTTTCTATATTATAATTTAATATTTTATCAAAAAAGTATAAAATACTGTAAAATATTAATTTTATGAACACAACAATTCTCTTTATATCTCACGACTCCGTTAATTTTAATTTAATATTTTTTTTTTTAAACGTTATAAATAGTGGACGCTCGTGCATATTGGGAAGACTCAATAATAATAATAATTTAAAAAAAAAGAAGAAAACAATGTTGATGCACAAGCGCCTATTTGCTCTCTCACTTACTACAAATCGGCCTTAATAATAATAGTAATAATAAACTAATAGTAGTTTAATATAATAATATAATAAGAAAATAATAACACCATACACAAAGTATATAAACTAAGCCAAAAAATTGTTTAATATAATATACAAAAAGTGTAGTTGGCTTAATATTATACTGTAGTATATATTTAAAAAAAAAAATTATTGAGCAAATGGGTTCCAATTTGGGTTGTTGGCACCTTAACAAAGCTGCAAGGCCAAATTGTTATATATTTTTTTTAATGAAATTTGACGCCAGTGTATATGGCACAATTAAGCTAGATTTTTATCTCATTTATGTCCATACTGATTGGACCAATCGAAGGTGAATAAAATAGTCCAAGGTTTTATTTGCTTCATATTTATAAAACAATCACTAGCTCTTGGACTAAAAAATTTTGGATTCAACTAAAACAATAAGTCAACAAACACAACATCACCTTCCTGTTGGTAAATGAATAAATGCTTTCCTTCTACAACTAAAAAATGAAATCTTAGATAATGTATGTACACATAAAGTTTATAATATAGAGAAACTAAAAAAAAAAAAAAAGTAAGATGCCTTATCTACAAAGTAGTAATTAAGCGAAAAGCAACAAGTGGTAATCTAAAAAAAAAAAAGCAAATTTTTCATATGTTAACACCGTATATAATATATATAAAAAGAAAGGATATTTACATCTAATTATTAGCCAATAATTTTTAAAAAAAGGGGGTGTGAAATCAAATTGAAATCTGCTAATAGTAATTTCACACTATACAATTATTTGTCCCAAATGAATTGAGAAACAAAATAAACACAAGAGAAACAGAAATGATCATACCATGATATTGTGTGTTAAAAAAATAATAAAACCAAAAGAAAAATTCTGCATTGAAAAATCATAAATCTGAGAAAAAGGAGGGTTACAAAAAAATTATAAACTGATATCACATTCGTATGTCATTTCATCACAAAATTTCTTTAAAAAAACGCTACCGGGAGCGTCAAATAATTCCACCAAATCATCATCAAACTAAAACTAAACCATTATTGGACACTCCTCGTTAAAAAAAAAAACGTAAAATTAAAAACAGTTCCATATAAAAATCCTTACAACCTAAAATTAACAAGATTTGTAACGAAAAAAAAAAATAGTAATTCTTTCCCCATTAATTTAATCACAGTAAATATAAACAATCAAAAATTATTAAAATTACAAAGAAGAAAAACGCACACACGGGTTATATTATCATAATTTTTGTTTTTTTTTTTGGTTAATTATAACTCAAAAAATTTTATGTCCGCACAGGCGCCGCTCCAAACTAAATAACCTAAGTTATAACGTCTATAGACTATTTTCTTAGAAAAAAAAATATTTCCTGCAGACAAAAACGCTCGTGTTAATAATAGACAATTTAATATTATGTAGTCCTTGTTTGTTTGGAAATTGTATCAAGTTTTCAAGGATTTTGTTTCAGGGGTAAAATTTGCTTAAGCCCAATGTTACGTCAAAGTATTTTACTCAAGAAATCCGTCAACGTGTAATCATTGCTTTCAATGTAAAAATATTTAATGTATAGTATGAATCGCCCCTTAGAGAAAAAGAAATAAATCTTAGTCATCATTTGCTCTTATTTCCCTAAATCTAGAGACAATTTCACAACTCCCACGATAAAATGAATGTGCAATATTGCCACATTGCTTGAAATTTTGGGAAAAAAAAAATATGAATGACTTTGATCCCCTCGAGAGCTCTTACAACTTAAACTGTCTATGTGTATAAATTTGATCATTTTCAACTTCAATTTTGCCAATATTGAAACTCATATGTTTTATATTGAACTTTTTTGAATCTTACATTATATTTGCCATCAGGAAATTATGGACTTTTAATTTCCCTTGATTTCTTTCGATTACCAATAAGCTTGCACAAGAGTTCCCTTAAGTTCAAATTATAAAGATTTTCGAAAACTGCGTATACATTAAATCTATGGGGTGATTTAGTTTTAGGTTACAATTATATGACACTGGCTGGCATATATGGCTGAAATTTGACATGTGTCATAGGTGAGTATCGACATTTAAGAATATGAAGCGATATTCTATTCGACACAAAAACTCAATTTAATTGACAAAACCTTTTTTTCTATAAGTGTTGAATATCATGCATAATATTCAGGGTGTTCCAAAATTGATGCATCAAATTTGTAGATATGGCATATTCTACGTCGAAAATAAGCCCTAGTTTCCTATATAAACATATGTCCGGAAATGCTTCCTTTCCGAGATACAGGGTGTTGAAATTCTAAGAAAAAAACTATTTTTCTATCATAATTTTAAAACCACTCTAGATATTTCATTGAAATTTTGTACACTGCTTTCAAGCAGCAAAAGACATTTTTTGATGTGAAATATTTGAAAAAAAAAAAATACCAGTGACGTCACAGAAATAATTTGAAACTTGTGTCTAATTTTTAACATTTTAATCATAATTTTGGCGATTTTGCCATGCATCAAAATGGTTCTTGATTTTTTTACTTGAAAACGGTGCATCTTTCAGAAAAAAATGTAGAGATCAAATTTGTTCCAAATTGAATGGGGATTTCAAAAATGATTTTTGTTTTAGGAAAAAGCAGTAGCGCACCATTTTTTTCTTGAAAAATATTCCATAGAAATCTGATACGGACGTCACTGGTAATTTTTAAAAAAAATTATTTGACATCAAAAAATGTCTTCTGCTGCTTGAAAGCAGTATACAAAAATTCAATGAAATATCTAGAGTGGTTTGAAAGTTATGATAGAAAAATAGTTTTTTTCTTATAATTTTTACACCCTGTATCTCGGAAAGGAAGCGTTTCCGGACATATGTTTATATAGGAAACTAGGGTTTATTTTCGACGTAGAATATGTCACAAAAATTTGGTGCATCTTTCGGAACACCCTGTACATCCAATTTTTATTGATCAATGTAAATAATTACTCATACAGTGAGTTTTTTTCATTACTGAATTGTTTTCAACCAATGAAAATATCCTGGTCTCATTACTCGACTATTTAAGAGCCAATCAGAAAATTCGACAGGTTAACAACATACTTCAATCTTCCAATCAGTCATTTTGACAGCTGATTTAACACATTGAGTGCCACGGCCATTTTGGGTATGTTTCCCAGAGGGACACATTTTTTTTTTCAGATTTTTTGAGTTTAACTTTCAAAATACATTAGCTTTAGACGTTTTTTGATATCTTTTGTGTGATTCAACTGTCAAAAGAGATTTTTGACGTGTCACCCTTATATGGGTGACGTGGCCTGCCAGTTTGTAAGTCGTTCATTTTTTCAGATTATAAGCAGAAAATGTAGAGAATTTTAAATTTTTTTTTCACTTTTAATTATTATTTTTTTTTGATGATGTTCATGAAAGATCTTCAAGTTTTGCTATTAGAATTATGGTATTTGGCAGTTTTTGAATAAAAATTAATTTTTTTCCCACTTTTCCCTTCTATTTTCTTTCAATGTCCGTAGAATATGTAAATTTAAAGATTTCCTAAAACCAAGTATATCACAATGTTTCTCAGGGGGCTACCTTTTAGAATCCCTATTGAAAATTTACTGATCGTCGCCTATATTTGTATGACGCTGCCGGGCGCGGAGTTATGCATGCAGGCCATGTCGCCCATATATGTATGACGCGGCCTACCGGCAAACATCACCGTCACCCATATAGGTATGACGTGGCAACCAATGTGTTTTAAACAAGACTTGTGCTAACCTAACCTCACTTTGTCCTCCACCAGTCAGAATTGTCAATTAATTTTGTTATGAAAATTAAATAAAAAACCGCATAACTCGTGCCTATTAATCATAGAAAAAGTATAGTATTCTACTCGTGGGTACTCAGATAATTACACTACTCGCCTGCGGCTCGTAGTGCAAACTTCATCCTTCGTGAGTCATAGCCATCATTATCCGCTTATTGAATAATATACAGTACAGGGTTATTGGTTATAAATGTCACCCCCCTCTATCTTTTTTATTTGACATTTTAGAAAAAAGTGTTCCAAATAAAAATTTTATGGTTGAAATTAAATTTTTTGAAAAACTCACTTTTGCATATACATAGGGTGTTTCAAAAAAGCTGGCCGTGCTCCAACTTTCTCATTTTAAATTGAATACCCTGTATATTATTCAATATTCGGATTCTACGTCAAATTCTAAACAGATATCATGTGATATACCCTATACCTAATTTCAACTGTTTTGGAAATATTGACAGTTGAAAATTGACTTTTTTGCAAATTTGACAGGCTGTAAAACCTAAACGGTTAACTTTTGAGCAGAATCGATCTTACTTTTTTTTCTAAAATTTTCACAAGTTATCATTTGACACCAACTTTGAATTTAACCGAAGATTAAATTAAATTGGAATTTTCAGTCAGGGATTAAATTCAAAGTTGATGTCAAATATTGGTGTCAACTGATAGTTTATAAAAATCTAAGATAAAAATATGAGATCGGTTTTGCTCTAAAATTAACCTTTTAGGATTTACAGCTTGTCAAAGTTGTAAATTTTCAACTGTCAATATTTCCATAACAGTTGAACTTAGGTATACATGAAATCTGCTCAGAATTTGAAATAATATACAGGGTATTCATTTAAAATAAGAAAGTTGGAGCCCGACCAGCTTTTTTGAAACACCCTGTATATGCAAAAGTGAGTTTTTCAAAAAATTGAATTTCAGCCATAAATTTTTTATTTGGGACACTTTTTTCTAAAATGTCAAATAAAAAAGATAGAGGGGAGTGACATTTATAACCAATAACCCTGTACTTATATACATTAAGTTCGCAGCATATGGGGAACTTTTTTATTATCAATTTTACGAAAAAAAGTTATTCTTTATAAAAGTTTCTACTTCTTAAAAAAATACTATTAAACTATTAAAACTTGCAATAGTGTGTACAGGGTGGTCAGAAAATAGAAAAATATACAGGTTTTTTTGGTAAAAACAGTCACTATTTTTTTAAACCTTTGATTTATTTTTAAAAATAAGCAAGTCATAATTACAGTCAAAGGATACCTTTTGTTATCACAAACAAACCTGCCAAATTTAAAAAAAAAATTGGAAAGGGGATTTTTGAGCTAGAAAAACGATTTTTTCTAAAATTTTGACACTGTGTATCTCAGAAACTACGCATTTCCGGACACATGTTTATGGGAACTTTTTTTCTTAAAATAATGTAAGGAATCACATCCTGAAGTTGCGAACCGTACTTCGGAAACACCCTGTATATTTTTTAAATTTTTTGACCACCCTGTACATGCTATTTCAAGTTTCAATAATTTAATAGTATTTTTTCAAGAAGCAGAAACTTTTATAAAGAATAACTTTGATAATAAAAAAGTTTCCCATATGCTGGGAACTCAAGTGGACATACTGTACTATTCCCATATTCACAGTTATTAATACTCACTTATAACACAATCATGTCAAATTTCAGTAATACATGGCTGTTAGCAAACCAGTATTGCAATATTTAAACTGTAACCTCAAACCGAATCGCCCTATAGAAATTAACTGAATTCCTTAAGATTTCCCATGATTTCCTTAAAAATTCTTGATTCCTCATGACTTCCTTATGATTTCGCCTGATTACTTTAGATTTCTTGTTAATTTCCCCTAATTTGTATACATACCACATTTCCCTTGTGGTTGAGATCTGAAGGGTTTATTGACCCCTTTATTTTTATTGTAAAATTGCATTTTACCGCATATAAAACCCTTTAAGCCAAAATCATACTATACGTACTAGTCAACGTCACGTCAAAGTATTCTTGAAAAATCCGTTACAAAGCCATAAGGTATAGTGTGACCACAATTCAATGTAAGAATATTTGACGTGTTATTGACGTATATAGTAAAGGTGCCTTGAAGAAAAGGAGACAGATCTTGTTTTTCATTTGCTCTTATTTCCCTAAATCTAGAGAAAATCCATTTGACCCACACTATACCCTTGATGAAATGATTGTGCAAATGTTGACATATTGCTTCAAATTCTCTTAAGATTTTCCTCATGACTGCCTTATGATTTTTCCTGTTTATCTTAGATTGCCTGTTAATTTCCCCTGAAGGGTTTATTGACTCTTTTTATCCTAAAATTGCGTTTTACCGCATATAAAACCCTTTAAGCCCAATTCATACTGATCAATGTCACGTCAAAGTATTCTCCTCGAAAAATCCGTTACGATATCATAAGGCATAGGTAACCACAATTTAATGTAAGAATATTTGACGTATATTAGTAGTAAATGTGCCTTAAACAAAAGGAGATAGATCTTGTTCTTCATTTGCTCTTATTTCCCTAAATCTAGAGAAAATCCCTTTGACCCACACTATACCCTTGATAAAATGATTGTGCAATGTTGCAACATTGCTTGAAATTCTCTTGAGCTTTTAAGATTTCCCTTGATTTCCTTATGATTTTTCCTGATTACCTTAAATTTTCTGTTAATTTCCCCAAATTTGTATACCAAATTTCCCTTGTGGTTAACCTGAAGGGTTTATTAACCCCTTTTATTGTAGAATTAAGTTTAACAAAGGCCAAAAATGTATGATTAAAAAAGGAAGATGTTACGTGGTGATCATTGATCACACTGATTACAATTCAATGTAAAATGCTTATTCATTGAACCAGTCAAGAGGTGGAACTACTTCACAAGATAAGGTTCAGATTATGAAAGCTCATATGACGTGAAAATCAATAAGTACCCAAGACAAGATCTAAGATTTTAAGAAAACCAGTTCTTCAGGAAAGCTGGAAAGAAAAACGAAAAAATCGTGGAAATATCGGAAGTACCGATCCTTCATTCATTAAGATTTTTTAAAGGTTGTACAGGGTCTGTTCCTTATAATTAGTGCGGCTCCTACAACTTAAACAAAAGAAAATACAAAAAAAAGTTAAATACAAAAGTTGTAGGGTTTTATCTCTATTATCTTTCGTACATGTCAAAATGGGCAAATGACAGGTGCCAACTGTCACTTGTATTTTTTTTAACACAACACCCTGTATATCTTTAGCTAGGATGATAGACTTTTTTCTTCTGATTTCAAATATATCATATATGTTGATATTTAGTTCAGCAGTTTAAAAATGTATTTACATTACCCTAAATTAGGTCTGTTCCCGGTTTCTAATATCAATGATGAGGCTTGCTCAATGCAATTTTAAAATGAAATAGCGCAAAAACAGCTGAACCAAATATCACATATATGGTATATTTGGAATCAGGAGAAAAAAATTTATCATTCTAGCCAAAAATATACAGGGTGTTCTATTTGAGAAAATGCAAGTGCTGTCATGATGACAGTTGGCACCTGTCATTAGCCCATTATGACATGTGCAAAACATAATAGACATAAAACCCTACAACTTTTGTATTAAACTTTTTTTTGTATTTTCTTTTGTTTAGGTTGTAGGAGCTGCACTAATTATGAGGAACAGACCCTGTACATACATACTGACAAGACAAGTGTTTTGATGCGAAATTTTGCCTTTTTATTTAATGTCTTCAGCAAGCTTTAGCTCGATCAGTGGCGCACTAATTGTTGATAATTTTTTAAAGGGGAATCCCATTATTGCAATAAGTACCGGGTGATTGTCTATATTTTGCACCCACACTTATCTTACCTGTTTGAAGAGATACCCAGGAATGTCAAATGTATAAGTTGTAGATAATATCAGAAAGTTTTCAATGATGTTAGTTACAAGTATACAGGGTGTGTCACAAACGTGTCGAAGCAAAGTTATACTTTTTTAAATGGAAAACCTCGTGCAGATTTCCAAAAATGATCCTATCATACTTAAAATGATCTGCTGATGCCAAAAAACTTTTAAAATACCGGGTGTCCCATTCAAAAAGCAAAAGTTATGGCGGGTTTAACCGGAAGTGACTGGTAACGCAATTTACTCCTAAAAAACTCAAAAAGTTGCCTCGTTTAAGCTTCCCAACTTTCAAATTTTCAACTTATATATTAAAAAAATTATATGCTGTTCCCTATTCCTTGTGTCACCCTGTATATGTACTAGGTTTCCTAGGATTATTCCTAATAGTCCAAGAGCAAATAGGACAAAAAGGGATGGAGGTGAAATATAGAGACCACCAGTAAAATATAAAACTATCATTCATGTAAAAAATTCATAGTATTTCTTCTGAATGGGCTGGACTATGAGGAATAAATTTAAAAAACTTAGTATATTTGAAATCAGATTTGAAAGACTAATCCAATGGAACAATAATATACAGGGTTTTCCATTTAAAAAAGTATAACTTTGTTTCGCCACACTTTAGTAACATATTCTGTATATTTGTAAGTAACATCATTGAAAACTTTCTGATATTACCTACAACTTTTACATTTGACATTTCTAGGTATCTTTTTAAACAGATGAGATAAGTGTGGGTGCAAAATATAGACAATCACCCGGTACCTACCTTACTTCCTACTTCACTGTATTTTTCAAATTCGCACTGCCAAAATTCAAATTGATATATTATATATTTTTTTTTTCAAATAATTTGGCCCGAAATCCCAACTATTTTGAATAAATTAGGGTGACACACAATTAATACGACTTGTCTCTTGACACCATTACGAATTCACTGTCAAATGGGAAAATTTCCAAGGCCTACTAGATAGGTTGAACTAGAATCGATTCTGAATCAGTTCTACCAGTTTTGATTTAACAAGAACCAAGATCTGATGTTCTTTGTTTGTAGTTCAACTAAAATCGGTTCTGAACCAAACGAAATCCTGAACCGGGTTTCTGAATCCTGGAACTAGTTCCAATGTGATCCGAGAACAAAGCTATATTTATACAGCTTAGGGTCGGTTTCTCAATAGCGAGTCACCTCCGGGTTAGTTTTAACTCCATGGCAAACGTATGCAGTATCGATGTTTACCCTGGAATGTGACTTCCTATTGAGAAACCGGCCCCCAGAAAAATAAGCCCTAAGACCGCTTTTAGCTTTTTAAAGGAAATTAAGAAATTGTTTGACACATAGAAATAAAATTATTTGTTTATTCCAGGCTCTTGAATTAACTCAATTTAGGGAAATTTAAAGAAATTCAAGACCCGGGAATAGACATATAATGAGAATTGGAAATTGAGAAAAATTTGAGGAGAAATTGATTGACAAGTAGAAATATTAGTATTTTTTGTATTCCAGGCTCTTGAATTCTCTTAATTTGGAGGAAATTCGAAAAAATTCAAGAAAGCAGGTCAGTTTTTGTACACCAGATTGTACATAAGATTTCCCTTAATTTCCTTATGGTTTCTCCTGATTTCCTTAGATTTCCTCTTGATTTACCCCTCCGAGTACCTATACATTCAAAATTTTGAAAAACAAGTCATCAAGGAGCTTTTCCAGTGATCAAAGTCTTCAATTTTTAATCTTTAGACCTCAAAGGATTCAATAAGTTTGAAGTATTAATTAAAATCAAGGGCTTTAGAAGAGTGACTTTAGATTCTCCATAAGTAAAATAATAAGATTTTAAAGCCTGACAACTTCATCAATTTCCAAAAAGGACCACTGTACTACAACTAGAAAATATCCTTAAGCCAATTTTGAATAATAAAACACGAGCGTAATTGATCTGAACCAACATAACCTGACACACAAACCTATTCCCTTAACGATTAGCAGCCAAATTCCTTCTAAGCTGCGACACTTTGGCTCTAAGCTCAACTTGCTTTTTCTTTAAATCCTCCAACTGCTTAGTATAGTTAGCATTGGAACCAGTCAAATAGTAGCAGTACTGAGACGCTTGCAGCAAAATGTTAACTTTAGCAATCTTTTTGGTACCGCTAACTTCAGGCACAACAGCCTTAAGATTATCAAAAGCAATACGCAAATCGACTCGCCGCTGTCTTTCCATGTCGTTGTGCAAGTGACGTTTGTCGGCTGGTTCGTGTTCTTCGATAACTTTGTTGGCGGTTCTTCGGCGTTTGTAGCCGCCGCTGTTACGGCCGTTTCTGCCGCGTTTGACGCCGCGTCTATTTGACGTAGGTTTTGACGGTTGCGGCTCCGGATTTCTGACGACCGGCAATATCGTTTTGATGCCGGTGTTGATGCGTTGGCGCGACATTGCGGTCGCCACTCTTCTTTGTAGTTGGTGTTTGTCTCTCGAAGAGGGATTGGTGGGCATCGATAGGGCGATGCGAGCGGTGTTTGTGTATTTTTCTGATACGGATACGACGTCGATTTCCTCATCGTCTTCTGTAACAATAGAAAATTTACAAATTAGTCAGAGAGTCGTAAAATTGTCAGTTTTATTATCGCTTGCATAGAGGCAAAATATGAGTTATTGGGCAATAGAATTTGAAAATGAACGGTACATGCAGCGGAATGTTTTAGAGTAATTTTGTTATTTGGAATAAAATATTGTGAAAGCTCGGAGAACTATTTGAACGGGGATAAATATTTATAATCCATTTAAAATGGAACACCCTGTATATTATTTCATATTTCGAAATATCAAGCTACTGTAGTTGGTTCATTATAGGCAAAAGATTCCAGCATGTGATAAGCATCTGTAGTGACGTCACGAATAAGCCCTTAACGTCAAATGGAAGTTGGTCACTCTAAACATCTATTGTAAAGGCCGTCACACATGGTTTTGTATTTCGTTCAGAAAAATTGACGTTTGCTGTTAATAGTTTCCAAATTGGACCAACCTGTACAAAATGTTTGGAAATAGTATAGAAATGCCGTACTAAAAAATAGTTATGAGTGTTATAAAAGGCAAATTACGCACGAACCAGAAAAGTTACGCAGTGCGTAAGTAGGATGACCTACTGCTATTTGACATTGGGCGCTCACACGTGACGTCACTACAGATGCTTATCATATCTTGAAATTGTTTGTCAACTAGTGTTGTCAACTGTATTTTGATAAAATTGCCCGTCACACACGATTTTGCATATTGCATAAACTCCGACCAATTACAGGTTGTATTAAAGTCACCTGATTTTCAGCTGACAGTTTGGCATAAAAATTTCCATTAGAATAGTGCGTTATGCAAAGGCGTGTGTGACAGCCTTTATGTGAGGTGATTTATCCATAGATTTATCTAATATATTAAATATCGGTCCGGCACTTTTATACTACTTCCAAACACACTGTACATACAGGATGGTTCAAATTTGTACTTTTTCAATAGGAAACATCAATTTCTGACCGAGATACTAAAAAATCAAATTGAAAAAAGTAGGTTATTAACTGATAACTTTATGACGTCATCCGCGGTGCCTCAACATAATGCAAATCTCCATAAGGCACCCCAGATGCGTCATCAAGTTACCCTTTACCCGAAACCTTATTACCTTTAGGAACTTTACTAAAAAATGAACTCTTCACTCTGAAACACAGAAATCTGTGTTTCAGAGATTTCATGAAATTTTCAGATAGCTTGCCTAATAACTTTTATGACGTCATCTGTATGCCTAAACTGAGGGGTGGTTAACTGGTCAAAATCCGTGTACAAGTTGATCAAAATCCCAGAGAAAATCTCATAAGATGTAAATACTCAGAATCCCTAAGAATCTTTGAAATCCTTAAAAATTTACCAAAATCTCTTGAAATTTTGCATAAAATCCTACAAAATCTAACAAAAAATATTTCCTTTGAAATCCCCAAAAATCCTTTGGAATTCCCAAAAATTTGTTAAAGTTTCTCAGAATTCCTTAATTTAGTGGAATTTCGAAGAATTTCGGTAGAATTATGTTATTCTGAAAAAGGAATTACATGTGAAATTTTGGGAAGTTTCCATAGAATTCACATTAAATTTCAGTTCCTCTCGAATAACATGAAATTTCAGTGAAATTCCGATCGAATTACAAGAAATCCTAAATGAATTGCATGGAGGAATTCTAAACAATTATATGAAATTGCACCGAGATTCCCAACATGAAATTTCAGTACTTGCTGAATTTTAGTAAAATTCCAGAAAATTCCACAAGTGGAATGCCGAGGAATTTCCGGCTAAAAACATGGAATTTCGGTGATATTCCGAAAAATTTCCATGTAATGACATGAAATTTCAATATATTTCGGTGAATATTCATGAAATTACTTGAAGTTTCATTAATATTCCCAGAAATTCCTGGCTATTAAAAGAAAATTTCAGTGAAATTCCGAAAAATTCTTATGAAAATAAATGAAATTTTGAAAAATCTTTGAAGTTTTATTGGACTTCCGAGAAATCTTCGGCTATGAACGTGGAATTTCAAAATATTCTCATAAAATTTTAGTGAATTCCGACGAATTTTTGAGAAATTACATGAAATGTCAATGGAATTCCAAAGAATTTTATGAAAGTTTTGTGAAATTCTAGGATATTTCAATGGTGAAATTTTGGGAAATTTTAGTAAAGTTGAATAAAAAATTATGGAATTTTGAAATTGAAATTTTAGTGGAATTCCAAGAAATTTCATGAAATCCTATACTGTAATTCCGAAAAAAATTTGTTTAAGAATTTCATAAAATCTTCTGGTGGAATTTCTATGGAATTACTTAGTATTTTCGCGGAATTCCTATGGAATAACTTGAAATTTTAGTGGAATCCCGAAGAATTTCATGAAATTTTATAGTGTAATTCCGAGGAATTTTTGTTCAAGAATTACATTGAATCTTAGTGTGGAGTTCCATGAAGTCTTTGGAAAAAAATATTATAGCATCTTATAGTATAATTTTTAGGAATTTCCGTTTTTCCATTCAAAGTTTCAAAAAATTACATGAATTCCGAGGAATTTTCGTCCAATTATATGGAGCTCGGATGCAGTTGCATGGAATTCCAAGGAATTGTCAGGGAATTACATGAAATTTAAGTGGAATTTTGAACAACTTTTATCGTTTCATAAGGGATTCCAGTGAAATTACGGAAAATCCTAATTACATGAAGTTTTATTTTTATTCCAAGGAATTCCCAGTTAAAAACATGGCATTTTAGTGAAATTGAAATTCCGAAAAATTCCCATCGAATTACTGAATTTTAGCAACGATTTTAGTAAAATTGGAGAAAATTTCACAAGTGGAATGCCGAATAATTTCCGGCTGAAAACATGGAAATTTCGATGATATTCCGAAAAATTTCCATGACATGAAATTTCAATATATTTCGATGAATTTTCAAGAAATTACTTGAAGTTTCATTAATATTCCCAGAAATTCCTGTCTATTAAAAGAGAATTTCAGTGAAATTCCGAAAAATTCTTATGTTTCATTGGACTTCCGAGAAATCTTCGGCTATGAACATAGAATTTCAAAATATTCTCATTAAATTTAAGTGAATTCCGACAAATTTTTGAGAAATTACATGGAATGTTAATGAAATTCCGAAGAATTTTATGAAATTCTAGGATATTTCAGTGGTAAAATTTTGAGGAATTTCAGTAAAGTTATACAAAAAATTATGGAATTTTGAAATTGAAATTTTAGTGGAATTCCGAGAAATTTCATGAAATCCTATACTGTAATTCCGGAAAAAATTTGTCTAAGAATTCCATAAAATCTTCTCTTGAAATGTTGAGGAATTTCTATGGAATTACTTAAAATTTTCGCGGAATTCCTATGGCATAACTTGAAATTTTCAAGAAATTACTTGAAGTTTCATTAATATTCCCAGAAATTCCTGACTATTAAAAGAGAATTTCAATGAAATTCCGAAAAAAATTTATGGAAATAAATGAAATTTTGAAAAAAAATTTGAAGTGTTATGGATTTTCTAGAAATTTTCGACTAATAACGTGGAATTTCAGTAAAATTTCAAAAAATTCTCATAAAATTTCAGTGATATTCCGAGGAATTTCTAAGAAATTACAGGAAATGTCAGTGAAATTCCGAAAAATTTTATGAAAATTTTGTGGAATTCCAGGATGTTTCAGTGGTGAAATTTTGGGGAATTTCAGTAGAGTTTTAAAAAAATTATGGAATTTGGAATTTCTATAGAATTTCAGAGAATTTTAGAGAATTTGAATGGGATTTCGAAAAAAATAAAAAATATGAAATATTCACAGAATTTCCATCAAACTATATATAATTTCACTTTGTGTCGATTTACATGAAATTCCGATGAAATGTCGAGTAAAATTCCAAAGAATTCTCGTCAAATTACATACATGGAATTCCTTGAAATCTTATTAAGGAATTCCAGTGGAATCCATGGAATCCAAAGAATTCCCTTGGAATTAAACAGAATTTCCGTGGAATTTTCATTTTACTGTAATTCTGAGGAATTTTTGTACCATTGAATTTTATGGTGGAATTCCATGGAATCTTATGGTAAAATTTCCAGGACTTACTGTTTTTCTATTCAAATTTGTCATTTGAATGGAATTTCTAAGGATTCCATAAAATCTTTTAGTGAAATTCTAAGGAATTTCTATGGAACTAATAAACATTTTCGCAGAATTCCCATGGAATAATTTGAAATTTTTGTAGAATGCTGAAAAATTTTATGAAATTTCATAAGTAGTGTAATTCCTAGGAATTTTTGTCCAAGAATTCCATTGAATTTTATGGTAATATTCCATAGAATCATATGATGAAATTCGGAAAAGTATTATGAAATCCTATAGTGAAATGTCCAGGAATTTCCGTTTTTCCATTCAAATTTGTCATTTGAATTTAGAATCTCTAAAAATTTTTCAAAAACCTCTAAAATGCTCCAGAATCATCTAAAATTTTGAAAATCTAAAATTTTCTGAACTCCTGTAAAATCGAGTAAAGCTTTTCAAAATTCCTGAAGTCCTACAAAATCAATTAAGATTTAAAATATGTGTTTATCATTTAATAGAGTTAACTAAACTTCGAAGCGGTTGATTGGTCACAAAATCTGTGTACAAGTCCAGAAAAACTTGTAAGATATATTTAAAATCCCTGAAAATCTTTGAAAATTTAACAAAACCTCACAAAATCCCTTAAAAATCACTTGAAATCGCATAAAATTTCACAAAATCACACAAAATTTGTATAAAAAATGGTCAAAATTCCAGAAAAACTTGTAAGATCTACTTAAAATCCCTGAAAATCTTTAAAAATTTAACAAAATTTTATTAGAATAAAAAATCCTATAAAATTCCTAAAAAAAACATTCCTTTAACCAAAATCCTCAAAATCCTACGAAATCGATGAAGATTTAAAATCTGTGTACATATTTTAAGGAGTTAATCACCCCTCGGCCTAAACATAATGCAAATCTCCATAAGAACATTGATAAG